GCATATTAACTTAGTAGGAATGTTGATATTGTTTCTTAAATATACAGTAGACTGTTTTTTCTTGGAAGTTATTGACTTTCCTTCGGTGTCACTATTTAGTCTGTTAAACTTCAGACACTTTTTTTTTTTAAATCTCTCATTTTTGCTAGCTTGCGGACTTACTGGTACTTTTTTTTTCCTGGATCACATGACCAAGATGAGCATTCCATCAAAGGCACAGGCACGGGGTATGCCAGATTTTCAAAATAAAACTTCTTTCAGAATCTTATGATCAATCTAATATTTTTTAGCTTCCTACATGACTCTGTACCAAATGTTGGACTTCCGATACTAGACTTTTTCAGACGGAAAAAGTATTTTTAAAATCTGAATGAATTCGTAATTTAAAAATAATAAGATATAACAATCTTTTTTTCCATTAGTAACAATACTTCATATAAAAAAATTAAATCTTAAAAAAAAAAAAAAAACAGGACTTTTTCCACACCTAATATTACATGTTTTTTTCGGTGTTTTAAAAGACAGCATTGAATAACTTTTTTTCCTTGAAGATGCAACTTCACTTCCCTAAAACTGTTTTTGTCAACAAATCTGTCTTAAAAAATTATTTCTTTTGTTTCGAAAAAAACAAAAAAACTTTATAACAGAAAAAAAAAATACTTTTCTCTGGTCGTACAATTTGGTTTTTTGCACCTCATAATAATATCGCTGAATACAACTTTTTCTCCTCCTAAAAAGATATTTCTGAAAAAAAAATTGACTTTTTTTAATTGAAGAATAGGAATATCTCACATAGGGTAATGTCTTTTTCCTAGCAAAAAATATACTATTTTATCATTGTTTTCACTCAAACAAATACAACTTTATTCTCCTATAAGCTTATAGCTTTATTCTAGTGTATATATTTCTTTTCTTTTCAGTGTGGTCCTGACACACCTGCAAAATAAAAGCGCTCCACCCAGTTGCAGCTGTTTCATTTTCTTCAACAAAGACAGCACCTGCATCACATGTTAGCTGTTGACCTCTGAACCACAGCAGGAAGGAGTTATTTATAGACGAGTCAGCGAGGGGAACTGATTGCCAAATGAAACACGTGCGACAAGGAGTTACACGTGAAGAGGAGAATACCAAAGTCGAAATGCAAATCAAGTCTAATTCCGTTTGACTGGCTGAGTAGAAAATGAACTGAAAATGTTGCCCTCATCTCCAAATGGAGTCGCGGGTCGCATCTTGACGCATTACGTCGTTGTCTCACTTGTGGTTGACCGAGACTCTTTTTTTTTGTAAAAACTCTCAATGAGCAATTTTGTTTTACTAAGCTCTTTGCTTTTTACGAGTTCACTTCATTCCTTTTTCTTTTTGTCATAAATGCAACCATATGCAGCACAGCAAAAGATCCAAGAGGGAATGACACATGACCTTGGGAAACACTCCATACAACTTCATGCTTTTGGCACCTACGACACACTTAAATATATAGCAAAGGCCCACATGATGACACCTCAGTTTTTTTTGTTTTTTTTTTTGACGCTCTGTTCATTCACTACTGTGACCACTTGGACAACATGTAGCATGTAGCTACGATGGCTAACACAAAACAGACCTGCCGGATGACTTTTAAAGAACTTGGTTCTGTTTCTTTGGAGTCTCTGTAGATCGGCTTCTAACGGATGTTGCTGCACAGACTCTTAACTCCACATGAATTTTAGCAGGATGAAAACGAAAATCAATGCAATGCAGTTTGAAAAAAAGTTTATACTGAAGAAAACATGAACACATGTCACTGACTGTTTATATTATTCTGTCAAACTATGATACTGGGTAGAGTCCAGACACTCACCTTGGCTGAATTATATGGAGCAAAACCCAATTACATTTTGCGAAGTTTGATGCAATATTTGTGGAAAAATGAAGGAAAATGTGAAAAGGATAGCATGTTGTTTATTTTGGAGGAAAATATGACTATTCCTGCCTTTTCTCTCATATCGTTTCCATTATTTCATTGAAAAAGAAAGATTGGCTGACAACCGGTTCAGGGTGTCCCCCGCCTACTGCCTGAAGACAGCTGGAATCGGCTCGAGGACACTCCTCGAACCTTGTGAGGATAAGCGGATCAGAAAATGGATGGATGGATGGATGGATGGATGGATATCTATATATTATACTATGTATGTAAAGAATAGAAAACTTTTACTCTAAACTTTTTCTCATACATTTACTGCTTTATTCTGGCAACCTTATGACTTTTATTTGTTCCACCTTTTGATCATGGAGCATATTGTAAAAGAACACATCAGGTATTCCTTATTTCACAGATTTTGTGTAATTATAATGCAGTATAGAAAGTATTTGCAAGTTTTTAACTGGCCCTGTTACACATACAATCAGAAAACTACATCGCCCATTGTCCCGCTGTCACAGTTTGGAACAAACTCAATAGCGATCGGATCCCACAAATATAGACGCCAAACAAAACTCCATCACAAAAATATGTATTTACAAGAACAAAGCGCACCAACAGAGTATGAACAGAAATCGCTGGTCAACAAGAACCAGGAAAAACAAGACATTAATAAAAAGCGTTTGCAAAAGGCACTTAACCCGAGAAAACCAACAAAATGCCAATAGTCAAATACACACGCAAAAACAAATGCAAGATCAAATGACTAAACAAAGACTATACTTACAAAAACAGGGAACAAGAATAGCTATGATGAGAACGAGATTGAGGGGTCTAGAAAACAAACACTTGAGCAAGAGCTGCAACTAAGTCAATATTCCGACAAGCAGGAGGCAGCTTGACAGTCCTTAAATACTTTGCTAATGAATAATGGCAGCAGGTGTGCACACTGAACGGAAGGCCCTCGTCTGCCACCTGCTGGAGACACACAAGAACAGGATCATAACACCCGCCTCTCTACGGAGCAGAAATCAGTTCAGTAGTTTTTACTCCATTAAATTGTGCATCAGAGAGAAGATTTGTGCAAGAACAGGGAGTAAAGAAGCAATAAATATGTGAAAAGTCATTGACAAGCGTACAAATAAATCTAAAACAAAAATCTGCGCTCCAGTTGGGATTTTCCGCACTTGGCCTGTCTAAATGTGCGTGCATCAGCCTTCAAAAATGCAAGTCTACATCCGAAACTTTTGAATATTCCTTAATCCCGTGAGAATAAAAAGATATGATGCTCATCCAAGGACTTAACAGTTGACTCCTTGTCAGCTCAATGTGGATCAGAATTGATGCGAAGCCACAAGGGAGGAACTGTGGGCCTAAAGCTGTCACATAATGATGCTCCTCAAAATCTAAGAGCGAAGTGCGACAACAACAGAAGAGAAATCACATGCCGCCAAAACTCTAGAGCTTCCTCTTGTTGTAAAACCACAAGGACGCAATCAGAAAATCCATCAATCTCCTGATCTTTGCTTTGGGTCTCGAGACACACCTTTGAGCACGCAGAAGCCAAGAGCGCTGTTAGGTGGCGAACTAAAGCAGATGTGCACAAGTCCAACAAATTCGCAGTGCTTGGCCTGGCACCACACCACACGGTCTCCATTGCTTTTCCATTACAACAAGTGTGGGGCGGGATCAACTGAACCGTGCAAGCCAGTGCACGGTGGAAGCATGTGGGGTTCTGCCATAACATTCCGTGATTGGCGAGTCTCGGCAATGGGTTATGCAGCGATTCAAAATATGAATTGCCGTTGCATATATGTGTCGATGCAGCAAAGAAGAACCCACGAAATGCAAAGAAGCTTTCACGTAGACGAAAAATCCATTCCTGGATGAGAGAGAGAGGCAAGAAGGCAAGAAGAGGGCAAGAAATAGAAATACAGTATAATCTGTCCAAATTTACTGTGCTTCACAACAATATTTAACCATATTTACAATTTCATATGTACCAATGAATGAAAATACTTTAAGTTGTGTGCCCAGTGTGTATCCACGGTTTGTTCTCCACACACTTTGGTCTTTCTTGTGCTTTTCTTACAAGCTATTTTGATTCGTGTTTTTTCCTTTCTTTGTGAAAGCACTTTTTGTTTTCTTCGCGTTATTCCTGGCTTGTTGTCCAGCGTCATTATGTGTACTTTGTCGGCCTTGCGCCTATTTTTTGTAAACAAATATTTTTGTTGGATCAACTTTCCTGAGTCTACGTTTGTTGGGTTCGATTCTGTCCGGAACCTTCCGGACGCTCGAGACATTTGTCTCACTCATGATGTAAGACCTTTGAAAAAGAGTTTAGGGAGATAATGTAATCAATCATTTGCTTTTGTGAAGCATTGAAGGCGTTTTGTCTGATTGAGGGGTTCGCACGAGTCTTTAATGTGGTTGCTCGCAGGGGCGATGTGTCCTAGCCATTTTAATCAAAGTGTCATAAATTGCTGATCTTTAGCAGATGTTTAGAAATAGAACATTATTCTGGGGTGTTCTGTTTATGTTAGTGTGATACTGTATATGATAGCAATATAAGGTCAAATACCAACTTGAACCATGCCGTGTTTGGCAACTCAAGCAAGATGGCCTCCATTTCCTAGAAAGTGATTTTGGAGGATTCAGACAGACAAGGACCATGTGCTCGCCTCGCATTAAATACCGTAGACAAAAAATGTTGGAAAATTTGAGTCAGCCCTATGTCGAGGATACCTGCTTCGGATTTGAGCTTATTTGGATGAAATCCAGAGTTAGCCCTGGAATTTGCCCCAAATGGCCCTTTCAAATCAAAATGTTCGAAATTATTCTTCCTGTACAAATTCAAGCATGGCTGCTGAAGATATTTTCATGCCTCCTGTTAAGATAGAAATTAGTGTCAAGGAACGCTACGACGTGAGCTGGGGAGACTTATATTCGGGTCCCCAATTGAAAAAAGTTTTCACCATGATACACACCTTTCAAAAGTGTAACCAAAATGAAAACTGGAGAGCTGTTTATGGCTGAAAAACAAGCAATTTTCTCCAGGGGTCATCACAATGAATGAAGTGCTGTCATTTCTACTTCCTAGTGGCATTGATGGTTGCGGCAGGGAGTAAACTCTGGGAGGTGCCCACTACTTCTTCCAACTTCAGCGAAAGCCTGCAATGGCAGGCCCATTGCCACGCCCACCACCATCAGGACAAAGTGAAAATCACAGCAGAAATACCACCAAGGATGGATGGTACCTGGTTATCAACGAGGTAAACTTTTCTCAAACACAGTGAAACTTTAGAAAGCAAAGACACTGCAGGAGGTTCTTGGTTTACCACTGAGTTCTGCCACTTGTGTATTCTTACGTCACAGCACAAACTAGTTAAATGAGCACCACTAGAAACCTCGAAATGTTGGAAACCGTTGTTCCAGAAGTCTGCCCCACAGAAATCTGATTTGGACGGCAAGGAAACTGGCTGCCAGCCAATCACAAGGCACACGTAGACAAACAACCATTCACTCTCACAATGACACGTCGGGACAATTTAGAGTGTTCAACTGACCTACGGTGCATGTTTTTGGAATGTGGAAGGCAACCGAAGTACCTGGAGGAAATCCATGTCGGGATGGGGAGAACATACAAACTCCACACAGAAATCAAACCTATGAACTGTGCACTGTGAGGCATACGAGCTAACCAGTCAATCACCGTGCTGCCCCTATGTCCGGGCACGACTATGTTAATTGCTCTATTTTTTTTCCACTTGAGTGGTGGCGTAAACTTGCTGGTACCTGTGGTAATAGCTTTAATGCTTTTACTCTGAAAGCGACCCAACAGGATGTACGCCTGCTCGAGCTCGGCCTATAATAAACTGTTGCTTGCTTGAAACCGACTGCATCTTAATTACCCACACTACGACAGTACCGGTACATCAAATTTTGGCTCACATCATAAAGCAAAAACATAATTTGAAAAAAACTGTGACACTCATAAGTCATGAAATATGGCTGTTTTGGTCCCAATAATGCTAAAATATATTTTTCCTAACAATACTTAAGTTCTCTCAGAGCCAACCTTCAATTTTGTAAAGTTCTCGTTTATTTCCATGCATTCCCATTTATTCAGATAAATTCCTCTTAATTCGCATGGAAAGTTTATCACTTCAAAATTTCCTAGTTTTACAACCCGTTCAGGTTCAGGGGTCACTCCTTAAGACTTTCTATAACTCGGTGGTGGCCTCGGCCATCCATTATGGCATTGTCTGCTGGTCAGGCAGCATCTCGGCCCGGGACAGGAAGAGATTGGAGCGACTAGTCAGGAAGGCTAGTTCTGTCCTGGGCTGCTCCCTCGACACTCTGGAGGAGGTGGGCAACAGCAGGATGCTAGCTAAGCTAAAAGCTATGTTGGACAGTCCCTCCCACCCCCTCCAGCCCGCCCTGACAGCACTCGGTAGCTCCTTCAGTCAGAGACTGTTACACCCGCGTTGCAAGACGGAGAGATACCGCCGCTCGTTCCTACCGACTGCTGTCAGGCTGCTGAATAAAAAATGAATAAATAAATAAAGCATAGAATTATTTAAATGATATGACAACATATGTGAATAGTACTGTGACTATTGTATTATATTGCACTTAATTATTGACCTTATCCATGTTTGTATTTATATTGCACTTAAGTGAACTGGGGTTTCTTTTCTCTTCTTTCTACCCACAATCTTGCTGCTGAAGGCTGTAAATTTCCCCAGTGTGGGACAAATAAAGGATATCTAATCTAATCTAATCTATTTGTACCATCGAATCCAGGAGTATTTATCTTATCTTATCTTATCTTAACCCTACTCTCAAAGAGAATCACTGAACATACCAATCAGGAAGGAGGCTTGAAAAATCTCAATTTCTATGCTGGTATTTTCAGATGTGAAGTTCGTCCGGGTCCAGAGTTCCTCACCCGTTCCTACACCTTCCACCCCACTCGTCATTTCCAGGCGCTGCAGCACTACTATGCTGACAGTGAGTGCAAGAATCCCGCCTACTCTCTGGCGATCCGAGGCAAGCTCCGTCTTCGCCAGGCTTCCTGGATTACCCGCGGAGCAACAGAAGCCGACCATCACCTCAGCGGGGTGACCATTGTCGTCCACAGCTCGGCAGCCCAGCAGAAGTTAACCTCCAGGCTGCCCCCTTCCTGCGTGGGTGTGAGCCTGGCTCGGCTGATTCCTGGGAAGCCGCAGGACCTTTATAATACCCGGGCAGGAAGAGGGTGCCTGGTGGCGATGGGCTTCTCAATGATGGAGCTGGATTTGGTTAGGGTGGAGACACAGCACCACAACAATGGGGAGAAAATCCAGGAACTCTTCCTGGGGGACATACACACTGACTGGGCCCAAAGAACTCACTATAGACCGACAGGGTACCAGCAGCCACTGCAGAGCGCCATGGTGAGTTTAGTGACAACTAATCATTTGATGTCTGGCACGCAGTACGGCCACACTAATGATTCTTCCATTGATCCATCCTCAGCATCACATCCATCCGTGCCCGGTGTGTGCCCTGGTGTACCGCTCCACAGAACAACGCCCCCCAGTTTTGCCCCGCCAAACGCAAGCTTCTATTTCCTTGGCCGGACGTTGGGTAAGCCAACAGTGTGAAACCCGTCCCACGGTTCTCTTCCTCACCAGAGAGTTCCACTTTGATCCTGACCAACAAGCGTGGGAGGGAATTTATCGCCATTACTCGGACCCCCTCTGCTCCCAGAACACCTTCACGATGAGAGCTTCAGGTCACTATGCTCAGGGAAACCCTTCGGTCAAGGTACCAGGAGCCACAGAGTTTGTCTTCAAGGTGATCGAAGTGAGAGTGACAGCTGAAGACGAGTCCACAGCAAAGTTGTTGAACAGGACAAAGCCAGGGAAGTGCGGGCAGGCCGGAAAATGGAAGGTCAGAGCAGAACAGGGTCTGAGCTCCACGCATGGGTGCACGGTGCTTGGCATCAAGCTGCCACATAAGGAATATGAGCTTTTCAAGGTTGAGCTGGACTACAGGAGACACCCACTGTTGTATGTCGGGGAGAGGCCAACGGACGGTTCCAGCCCAGACCGTCCGATAAGGAGGCCCACATCCTTTCAGGCTCCCTTGGTGCTTTGCAGGGGCGCAGAGACACAGCCCCCAAGTCGCTACGGGTCAGGGTTCAAGAGCAAAGAAGTCCAGATTGATACCAGCGGAACCGGAAGGCTGACACAGATCCTCCTGGCGGTCCTTGGATCAGCCTTGTGCAGCTGGATTTTGGTTATTTAGAGACTTGGCACTGATGGGACTCGTTCTTCTTTCTTAAAAGACATTCAGGGGAGCCAAATAGACAGTTCAGTGCTACCTTGACTTAGAAGTGCCCCAATTTATGAGATTCTCAAATTATGAGTGACAGCTTGATCATCTTTTTTTTTTTTCCTTTTTGGTATGAGACAAAATTTGAGTTACAAGCAAGCTTCATATACACTGCTGCTTGAGTAAAGTAAAAATGATTGAAGCAATTTAGACACAGCACTGACCTTGAACTGGGTCAAGGAGAGTCAAAGTCCCTGCAGCAATTTCAGCAGTTTATGTTATGGGACAAACAGTCAAACACAAAATGAGAAACCTTGCAAAGAGCATAACTCACACCCAGACCCTCACACTGAAAAAAACAAACAAATGGACTCAAACTGCTGATGTCACTACAACATATCCCTTTAGCACACATTCAACACTAATACAACAGTACATACAGTAATTACACTTTATAAAACCAGATCATTTACATTTTCTTTCGTGATCTTTTTATACAATATGATGCTATTTGTTCTTATTAAAAACAAAATAAATTACATTCTGGCAGGATGGAAGGGATTAATGGCATTTCACTTCGTTTCAATGTGGACAAGTGATTTAATACATGAATAAATTGACTGATGATCTTAGTCAAGGAATGAATTATACTTGTAAATCATGGTATCATTGTATATTTTTTTTCATATCCAATCCCTTGTTGGACCTCCAGTGGCGCCTTTAGGTCCACTTTAAGGATCCTAAGCTCCAGCTTTGGTTCTCCTTAAAATTAAACTGCACACAAACCACCGATACCATCATTTCAGTACGGGAAAAAAAAAAATCTCCCGTCATATTTTGTAGAAACTGCTCTTTTCATGAAATGCCATCATGACAAATCAAGATGACTGCTGAAATGTCGGTCAGCAGAGTGCTCCTTTTGAGCCAGGATGCAAGTAGAACTAATGCACTTTGTACAGACCATTGTTTATACTGGAAAGAAAAGCAGCCAACAAGCAGACTTTGTGTAATCACTCCTAACAGCTACCATCCTGATGGGTCCAAGTCCACTTTGTGGTATAAGATGCTCTTATTTTAAAAAAGCCTTTAAGCTAGTCCAATGACTATTTATTTTATCGCCATATATACAGTATACACATACTGTAAATTCTTTTGTTTTAAGACTTATGTTTTGTTTTTTGGTTTTTTTTTGTAAACAATACCAGAAGTCATTCATTTCTTTTGTATTAAAAGTGGCTTCACATAACTTGTGTTTTGATGACTCTTCACATTTTGGAGCTAAATGCTACTTACATGACTTTCTGGACCAATGAATACAGCGTGTTCAGAAAGGTACAGGACTGACTTCCATTTGTACAGTGGAGACGTAACCCGAATTTGTACTTAAATTGGAACATGCCGCTGTCTGTCACCAACCTCCGCTGATGCAGCAGTAAATTCATAAATACAGTTACACATGACCTGGTCTTCTTGTAGCAATTCACATACATTCGTAACTTCAAAACAACCTAAGACAGGACTGGAGCAAACCAATGACCCCCTGCATGCACGATGTGAAAGAGAGCAGGCTTCTCTATGTTTAACAACCTAGTACAGATGACTAGGTAGTCGAACTAGAGAAAATGATACTAGTGTTGAGTGGTTAGTGCATCGACCTCACAGAGCAGAGGTCGTGGGTTCGATCCCCGCCTCCGGTCTTCCTATGTTGAATTGCATGTTCCTGTGTGGGTTTCATCCGGGTACTCCGGTTCCCTCCCACATTCCAAAATCATGCAGGCTGATTGAACACTCCAAATTGTCCCTAGGTGTGAGTGTGAGCGCGGATGGTTGTTTGTCTCTGTGTGCCCTGCGATTGGCCGCCTACTGCCCCAAGAAATCTGAGAGAGGCTCCAGCACCCCCCGCGACTCTTGGGAGGATAAAGCGGATCAGAAAATGGATGGATGGACGGATGGATACTCGTGGTATTTTGCGTTATCGCATTGTGTGATAAGCTGCAATTCCTTTCCCCTCCTGTCAATAAATACTTTACTTGACAAACAGCTCGACTCACTAACATAATTGTCAAATAGCATGAATATTAAACACACTCCGTTGGCTGAAAAGAGACTTTGCTAGGGCAGAAGCTATAAAAACGACAGCGTCAACATTTTTAGGTGTTATGGCTGAAGCAAGTGAAGCATTATGATTCATGGAACCATACTGCACACTTGGAAAACACCTGACTCTGTAAAATAATTCGAGGCTTTTCAATTCAGACCATGAACCCCCCCCCCCCCACAAAAAAAAAACGATGGTCGTGGAACAATGATGTTTTGGGGGTTGGATTTTGAAAAACACAAACACATTTTTGTCCTCACAATAATCTTCACAATTATTCAAGATCTGATCAGATGGAGTGAACAGAGAGAGAAAGTGCCAAGTATTCCCTTCCAGATGCTCCACGCTGTTTCTATTACCTCGTGCGAGAATGGCGATGGCAGCTGCAAGGCTCATGAGGTCATCCTTCAAAATTGGATGGGAAATATCAGTCTGGAAGCCCCCCAAGACCAAAAAGCTCGAGCACAGATCAAGAGAAAAAGGAGATCAGAGGCGTGCGGAAGGGGGATGGGGGTGGGGGGGTGGAGGGGTTAAGCCTTCAGATACTGTCAGACCCCCGATGAGGACAGAGAGGAGGTTCTCATTGTCTTTACTTGTGGTTTCTGTCAAGAGGCAGGAAGGAGCGCCCATCGGCCTGCTAGCAATCAGGCCTCAGAGGATCGCTGAGTGAGTCCATTCAACGAGCGAAGCAGAACATAAAACAGACGTGATTTAGCACATGTGTCAAAATGGCAAAGTATGGCTGCACTTGGAGGAAGTTCATCACAATGGAGAAAGTAACAGCGCATTTTAAATGTTCAAAAAGACAAAATATTCTTGTTTTGGGGATGAAAATAAAATAACTTTGGAAAACGATGGTAAATAGGGACAAAACATAACAGCAACACCGCAAAAGCTCAAATCCAACCTAGACTGAAAATATCAAATCAGGACAAAATATGCTTGTTCTTTGTCTAACAAGATATTTGTTCTTCTTTGTGTGAGACGTGTTTCACTTACGCCAGTTTTTTTTTTTTTTTTTATCTTAATAATGTATTAGGATTTCTTACTGGGATATAACTGGTTATCAGTAAGTCTAGCTTAAAATAATAAATACCACGTTTTATAGGTATAAGATGTATAAATACGCCACTTGAGCTCAGTTGGGGCTTCAATTATTTTAAGAAATCTCGCCAAGTCAACTGTGCATGTAATATTGCCAAGATCATTTTTTCTTACATGAAGTAAGTAAGTAAAATTGCTGGATTGAAATAATTAATCGGGTAACTCCAATAATTGGATGACAAAAATAGTTGAATCAAAAAAATCTCTGCTTTGAAGCGCTACAGTGATCATGACTCCACACGGCCTAGTGTTATTACAGAATCACAAACACCTCCGTGTGGAAAAGACAAAATATAAAATGGTTAAATCAAACATTTGCGTATTATTAATGATGAATTGATTATGCTTGCAAAGAAGAACACTTATGCCTGCAATGATAAATTAATTATGCCTGCAACAAAGAACGTTTATGCTTTTAATAAAGATATAATGCTTTTAATAAAGAGATGCTCACAATTATAATAAAGAATGCTTAGTGCACTGTGTGACAGTTGAGGGACAAAACCATCTTTCCAAGAAAGTGGTTGGAAAGAGATAAGTATTAAGACAAAATAAGAGCAACGACGGACGTGGCTGGAACTTACTTGGTGTTTTTGATTGCACACATGTACGTAATTTTCACTCACATACACACATAGTCAAACAAGTTCAGTGTGTCTTCAACAGCCCTCACCCTTTAGGTTGGACACATCCATGTATTAGATTCCCAATGAGAAATAATTGAGAGGGTGAGCGGGGAGATCCTTGGGTGACGTGCAGAGAACTGAAACCTAATGCTTCTCCTCGATTCCCCCTCGAGAAATTTGGTAGCAGAATCCAGCGTCTCCTCTCCTCATTGGGTCTTAATTATGAATGTCTAATTGATAACTCTGACAAAAATCAATGATACTGCATTACACAACTGAATGTACGGATTCATTAAACACTAAAATCCATAAATTGCAAACGCATTCAAATGAAAACTTGTTTCTGAGGGCGAGACTAACTAGACCACAATTTTTTTGTGTGTTTTATAGGATAAATCTTGCTGTAGACTGAAAAAGCTGTTGCCGTAACTTTACCTCCAAACTTGTGGCAAAGAGCTTGCAAGACGTTGGCAGTGTAAGGCAAACATGGCGCCAATTGTCATTTTGCCATTTTCCCTTGGCTCACAAATGAAGAATGCTCAAAAAATGACAGCTGGGGATCCAAAAACATTTTACAGATTGAGGTAGAGTTACAGCATTTAGCCAGACCCACCCTTAAGTAATAATGTGGCTAATTTACATAATAACTGCCACCAAACAGAGTTTCTACACACATTATGATCTGCTAGTCGGGGGGCAAAGATCCAGAGCCAATTTCAAGCCTCCACATTGCGACCACGAAGCTGACACCTCTGTTATAACGACAGAGTGAGCGTAGGTATTTTATTTGCATTTGCAAGTTTTGGGAGTAATGGAATACATATCATTAAAAAAAAAAGTAACTAATACATTTCAGAAAAAAAATACAAAATCAGAAGATACATAAATTCATTAAATATTCTGATAATTTTGCAGGAGTACATGTCGACGAATGAGCAGGATGCAGCCTCATTTTTGCCTGTTAACATTTCCGAAAGTCATTACATTACCGTATTTTCCACACTGAAAGGCACACTGGATTATGAGGCGCACCTTCAAATGAGGTGAGGGTGTACAGCAATTCCTGAGACGCTGTCCTGGATTCCTTGAAGACTCCCTGGCTGAGTCATCGCTATGCTCTTGGGTTAATTTCTGTAGGCTGGCCACTCCTGAGAAGGTTTACCACTGTACCATGCTTGCTCAATTTTTGGATAATGGCTTTCACCATGGTTCGCTGGAGTCCTAAAGCTTTAGAAATGACTTTGTAAGCTTTTCCAGACTGATAGTTGTCGATTACTATTTCTCATCTGTTCTTGAATTTCTTTGGAACATGGCAATTTGTTGCAACTGTTTGAAATCTTTTTGAGGGGCCGGGGTGGGGTGCGGTGGGGGGCGGGGGGGTCATTTTGTCAGATATGTTCTATTTAGGTGATTTATGGATTGAACAGGAGATAATCAGGCTTTGTTGTGGTCAGTGAAAATGAACTGGAAAATTGTGATAAGCCACAGTTGTTTCATGATTTAACAAGGCGGAGCTCGGACTTTTTTAGACAAGGTCAGGTAGCTTTGAATAGTTGTTTAGGAGTTAGATATATGGGTAGGTAGGTCAGTCGGTCGGTCGGTGGCCGGGTGATCAGGCGGACGGATAGCTAGCTAGCTGATGGATAGATAGTTCCATAACATGAATACAGTATTTGGATTACATTACTAACTAAATGTTGTAATAGGTAACTATAGCAACTGTACCAAAATACAGAGTGTCCATAAAGTGTCTTTACCATTTCAAGAACTTATTAAATTAAAAATGCAATTGATTAGATATTTTATTCAGATTTGTTCTATTATATTCAGCGTTTATTAAAGTTTTTTTTTTACCTCTTTTAATACACTTCTACATGGGCACCATTAGTTGCACGAAGCACATCAAGACGGTCCTCGATTTGTTGCCATGTTCGCTGTAGCATAGCCTTATCAATTGTGGCAATGGCATCAGTAATCCTATGCTTTAGGTCAGTAATGTCCCTTATCTTTGTTCGACACACGATATCTTTAACATAGCCGCATAGAAAGAA